CAGGCTGCCTACAAGGTTGGTGAAGCTGAGGCTGACTTCAGAGCCCATGGACGGAAAGGCCACTCCTGACCCACCAAAGTAGAAGGTGCCAGAATCTTAGAGCCCTTACCCTATATCACCTCCAATGCTTTTGCCCTGCCTGAGAAAGAATGAGAGGATTTTCTTCTTCTCTTACTGGACCACAGTTTGTGTCACCCACACCCCAGACATCTCCACATCTTCTCCAACTCTCTGTTTTACCCAGTTAGTGGGAAAAGAACCTGCTGCAAATTCCCCCTCTGAAACTAAAAAAGTATCCTTAATCACACTAACGCTATGACCATGGGAAAGGCGCTTCAGTATTCTAAAGACTGCACTTTCAGTTTCTTTAGATGTAACAAAAATAATAATAGATTAGTTAAGTGACATCAGGCAACTTACCTAATCTCTCTGCACCTCAAATTTCCTCACCTGTAAACTGAAATGAAAATAGGGCCTAAAAAAATTATGCCTAACTCAGTGTTTGTGAAGATTAAGTGAAATACGAGAAGTAACATGCTCAGGACAGAGCGTGATAATTCATACACAACTGTTGGCTGTGGATGGGTTGTTGTTGTACTTTGCCATTTATGAAGAGCTTTAGAAGTTCATTGTGTACTCATTTTACAGAAGAGGGTCCCAATGCTTAGGAAAGTTAAGCAACTTGCTTATATTTAGTGAATGGACAGTTAGAATGTGATGCAGAAACTGACCAAACAATGAAAAAGTCCCCTCCTACTCTAGCACTTTTTTTGCTTTCTTTTCCTCCTCCTCCCTCTTCTCCTTCCTCTGCACTCTCTTTCTTTCTTTTTCACTTCAGTGATGATAAGTTTGTAATATCCTTCATAAAAGATCTCCAAATCACATACCACTCTTGCATTGTCAAGCAGAGATGGAAGAAGAGGAGGATGGGCAGGGACAACCCCTCTGCTCCCCTGCCCTTTTGGCAAGAATTCGGAGGTGGGGTGGGCAGAGGACCTCCACCCTCTGGTGCACTGCCCCCTGTTGGTCAGTAAACTAACTCCCTAACTAGCAGCCCATTGTTCACCTGGAGTCCACCACCTTCTACAAAAGGGGTTAATTTTCACACCCAAAAGTATATGCCACTGGTGGTTGTACAAAATTTTTCTGCTTTGAACTTCACAGTAAAATGTCCCCAGAAATCTTGAATCACCAGGAATGCTGAAGGACACCCAGACACTTGATTTAGAGGGCATCTATGTGAACCAGACAAAAACCTGAGATAACCATGCCAAAACTATAACTTCTGATTCTTCTATATTTATTGTTAGAAAAATTCCAAACTTTAGTGGACAACTCAGTGGTCTGGTTAAGAGGAACATTTTTCAGGAACAAAAAAAAATTAAACTGGGTTTGCCTTCAGAATTGAAAGAAGGAAATACAACTAGTGTTTTTTCATCATAAGTGCCTTAGGCTTAGAGTGCTGACTTCTTGGTGCAAGAAGAAGCAGAAAGCCACTTGAACTAATTGAAATAAGACAGTTATGAGAAGAGCAGGGGCCATCTGAAAACTACAGGCTTGTATATTCATTGTTATCACATGAGTGTCCCCAACAAAACTCATGTTGATATTTAATGACCATTGTGAGGTACCAAGAGGTAAGAACTGGTAGGATTTTAAGAGATAATTAGGTCATGATTAGGGGATTCATGTGTTGATAGATTATGTGTTAATGGGTTATCTTGAGAGTGAGTCAGCTATAAAACCCAAAAGTGGGTTTGGCTGAGTCTTTTGCCATTAGACACCCTGTAACACTCACCAGTAAGAAGATCTTTACCTGATGTGGCCCCTCTGCCTCCCAGGCTCCAGAAACGTGTTGAATAAAACTTTAGTTTTATAAAATAAACCTGTGGTGTGCAGTTGTAACAACAGGAAATAAGACACATTCATATTCTTTTTCTTAAGGAGGATCCCCAAGTTGTACAAGCTCCGGGCCCCACAAAAGCTGGATCTACCCTGTACTCTGAGCCTCAGTTCTCTTTGCACACTGGCCCTGCTGGTGTGCTGAAGGGCCTGTTGCTGGCCAAGCTCTACATAGTATTCCCTCACTGCCTAGAGTCTCTCCCTCACTTAGCTCAAACCCTTGATAGGAAAGACCACTGTTGTTGCTGGCTAATCAATGCCTTGGCTGCGCCCTTCCAGTAACCTGCAAGAATAGATGGGAAAGGAGCCCTTTGGAATAAAGGTAAGTTTACCTTTGAGCATCGCTTGTGAGTGAGACCAATTCCCAGAAAAGGTGGCTGCAGATTATGTTAACTGTATCAGAAAACATGACAGAAAGACCTTGAAGAATGTGGCCAAATCACCGAGCACATTTGAGGTCCTGGATTTGATCCCCAGCACTGTAATAAATAAATAAACATAAATAGCTAGTATATGAAATATAAAATATATTTTTGAAATAGATCAAGTCCTCAAATTGCTCTTCCTTCTCCCTCTTCTTTTGTCTTTTCATGGTCTTTTGAAGGTGACAGGGGTCACGGGCCAAAGGACTGAGAGGCAGCAAGTCTAAAGAGATAGCAAGCGGCCAGGATGCCAGAAGCTGCAGTGGGCAGCAGGGTGGGGAGCAGGGCCCCAACCTCAGAGGCAGTTGGCATTGTCAGGACATTGTTTACACAAGGGAACAGAGAAGAGAAGTAAATAAAGGTTAATTGAAGCCAGAGTTCTCACTGAAGAAGAAGTAAAAGATGGAATTCAGAGGTGACAGATTGTAATTGGAAGTGTTCCTATGAGCTTGTGGGGAAATAGACAGATGATGATAGTTATATGTGTTTATATATGTACATAGTATGTGTGTGTGTGTGTGCGCGTGCGCGCACGTGCACACGCATGCAAACACAGGATTCCAGCTCTGTCTACTGAGATGGTCTACTTTTTCACCATAAAATGTTAACAAATGGATGCAGAAGGAATGATGAAAATCAATTACTGCCACTTGGCAACTGTTGTAGGGGTTGTGGATAAAGGCATCCAGGGACTTTTAAGGGTGGGGAGAGGAACATGATATGGGCATGGCTCTAGAATATCTCCTGTCAGTAACCAAGGGAGAAATGATAAGGTAGAGAACTTTGGCAGACACCTTGACCAGAGAGATGATCAAGGTTCATGCTGCTAAGGATGGGAAGGTCGACCCCCCCATTTCCCTGAGAAGAGCCCAGCCTCATTTCTGTGGTTTTCCTGACAAAAAGCAGGGCCTGAGGATATACTGGACAAACCCAATGAGAGGCCCATCCTCTTTCTAACCTGTTGAGGTCAAGAAAGATAGGGAAAGAGTGAGGAGCTCTACCATATTGAAAGGAAATAGATAAACATGACAACCAAAGGCCACTTGTGATTCTGGACTGCATCTTGAATAAAAGAAACATTAATGGTCCAGTTGACAACTTTGAATAAGGTCTGTGAATTGGATGGTCATATTGCTGATTTGGAAGATCTGTGATTGTTGTGTAGAGGAATGTCCTTGATTTAGGGAAGTACACATTGAAGTATTTAGGGGTAGGGGTATAAGACCTGTAGCTTATTCTCAAGTAGTTCAGAAAAGGAAAGATGATAATAGATAGGTGTATATAGAAAGAAGGTAATGAAGCCAAGGAGGCAGTGTTGACCTTTGAGGAATGTCGATAAAGGGATAATGGGTGTTCTTTGAACTCTTCTTGCAACATTCCTGTAAGTTTAAAAGTAACTTCGATATATATAAATTATTAAAATTTGTTTGTAAAACAACCACTCCCTGAAATTGTTACCCATGGCCCCAGACTTTTGCCTTAGGGAGAGAATTCTTCTTCTCAGCCTCTAACAAAGTCACTTCCATTGTCCACTTCAGTAGCCAAGTGCTTCCCCCTCTTCTGCTGACCTCTGCAAAACACCAAAGCCAAATAAAATAAATTTTACAGTCTCTCACAAGAACAAATGAGAAACTGGTTCTGCTTTGTAAGACACTCGGAAGCAACCCTTTGCTCATAATCACAAAAGCAAACAACTAGTCATGCTAAAAACAGAAAGCATTTAAAATTTTAAAATTAAGCGCCTCTGGCAAACTGTTTGATTAGGGCCAAGGTAAAAGCACTGTGCTAATCATTTTCATAATTTATTTATAATAAATATTGGCATTAAAGAAGATCAGTATGGTGAAACATAGAGAACTCATTTTTGGAAACCAGACTGTCTTGGGTTCAAATTGTGTGACTTTGGGAAAATTATTCTACCCTTCTGAACTTTGTTCTCCTAAACTATAGGTTGTGCACAATCTTAAGCTAGTTCCTATGCTTGTGTGAGGCTTAGTGAGATCTCATAAGCAAAGCATCTTGCATTTGGGGACCCTTAATCTATATTTGTCCCCTTACTTTCTGTCAAACACATGGAGAAGCCTCAAATTCCACCTGCACCCCTTGTCCGTGCTGTAAGAACTGACCTGACAGTGAGGCACTTTACCAGCTTCATTTGGGCCTCCAGGCCCAAGACTCCTATAGCCTGTAATTTCCTTCCTTCAGTCTGGTTTTTTTTTTTTTGGCCTGTCTTTATTTCAACCAGACATCCTTTAATCTCACAGTACAAACTCCAGGCCACATTTGCAACATGCCCAAATTTGTTCTTCTCCGTTCAAGACATGGCCTTTCACTTCATGTGGCTTATAGGCTAAAGAAAACAAGAGGAAAAATGTTTGTGTGTCTTAGCCTGTCTGCAAAGAGGAGCAGCACAGTAACAAATTGGACTGAGATAAATTTTCAAGGAGGTGAACTTAATAGCAAAAAGCCAAATAAATCTCAAGAAGTGCACTCACCAGACAGGAGGGCACTGCTTTGGGCCTTTGCTTCATGGAAGCTGGTTTATCCAGAGAAGAATGTGTCATCTTTTACAAGCCAGGGGGATGTCAGGCCAGCATCATTTGTGTTCTTGTCTCCCATCATTCTCACATCCAGTAGGGTGCGTCACTCGTAAGCCACTGTTTCAGATCAAGCCCCACCATCATCCCACAGCTAATCCTTCACTATCATTCTGTTGACACTGCAGGGAAGGGGAGAAGAATGGATCTCTGGAGCTTCCGACTCCCACACAAATTGCTTCAAACTCACTGAGGGACAGAAAGGGAAGGACAGTGGAGATAAATGGCTTAAAGGTCAATAATTCTATCTAGCTCCAACAGGGCAAGACTGTTCCAAAAATGCTCCTCAAAGATCTCCTAACACTAAGTGTATTCTTTCAGAAGACAAGCTGTGAAATAGCACTCATTGCTTTGGAGGGGAAACCTTGTTTTCTTTTTCTTATTGCCAAAGAAATTCATAGTCATAATAGAAATTTTAGTACATACAAACAAGCCAAAAATAGGAATGAGGGAACAAAAGAAAATCATCCGTAATCCTATTGACATATGTATTCTCTCTTTTTCCAAATAGAAGGCCCTATGCATGAACTTTTTCAACCTGCACTTTTCATTTGAGAGAAGACCGTGAAGCATTGTCCCTTGCACTAAGAAGCCTTCCACACCATCCTTTTAGATGGTTGCATTGTTGTCCATAGGACCACAGTTTATTTAACTAAATCACTAATGGTTTAGGTTGTTCCTCCATTTTACCACGTAGATAATGCTGTGATGAATGTTTTATGGCTCTTAAAACCTGTATCTTCACCTGTATCTATGATTGTTTCCTTAGAACATGTTCCCAGGTGTAAACTAACGCAGTGAAAGTATGCACACTTTTAATGCTTTTGCCTAAAATTGCCAGTTTTATTGACAGACATGTTTTATCAATGAAGTAATACAGCTTTACATTCAGTGGATCATAGCTGCCGTGTTCTGCCCTTATCTTCTTTAACCTACTATGAAATTAATGGTGTGTGATTTACTTACACAGTTCTGAAGACAGGGCTAGGTTCAGAAGCTGTGAGAAAGCTGAAATAGGAAGGAAGTGTCCATAGTTCTGAGAGTCTAGAAAGGGTCAAGAAAACAGACTATCACTGAGGGGCTCCTGAAACCTTAGCTACCTGGGAGGCTGAGGCACAAGAATAGCAAGTTCAAGACCAGCCTGGGCAATTTGGCAAAACTCTGTCTCAAAATAAAAAATAATTTTTAAAGGGCTTGTGATATAGTTCATTGCCTCTTGGGTTTAATAGTACTTTACAAAAACAAAAATCACAGGCTATTGTGATTTCTTTCTACAACTAAAGTTCTCCCCCAAAAAAGAATTTATATTTTAAAAATCTGTTTTTCATTTTTTCTATTTATAAAATTTTAACAGTTCAATCTAGATTTGAAAAGAAAAGACAAAATTATAAAGAGTTGTCCCAAGCCCCACCACCCAGAGGTTACCATTATGAACATTTGGTGAATTTCTCTTCATTCTTTCCTGGCGTATAGGCTGAGTTTGTGTAAATGAGATGATATGGTCATGTTCCACTTTGCACTTTGCATCCTTCACCTCTCTTTCTATGTGGAGGGCTTTCCCACCTTCACCCACTCAGGACACTGCCTCAATTGACTCTCATGCTTCCAGGAGTACATGAACCATGTGGCATCTGGTGGAGGAAAACCGTGTACCTCTCCTAAGGCTTTGGCTACCGGCTCCAGTGCTGGGCTCCTAAGCACTCCTAACAGTGCTTCCCTCTATAACAATCTATAAGCCATTAGCTGGGGCTATATTAAATCTAGCAGGTTCATCCCTAAGTCCTCAGCTCTTACTCAGGGTCGATATAATAAACGACTGTCTGGAGAATGTTTCTGCATCTTCTGCAAATCTTTGAGGAGAATGTCTGTTATGTGCCTCTCTGTCCCTTCTATTGAGATTCTTATGATAAATCTGAACTCACATGGAGTATCAGGGAAAAGTTTGGCTCTCCTGACAAATGGCTATACTTTCTTTTATCCAATAACTCATCACATTTTGCCTTTCGCTTTAGCTCAATTTAATGCGCAATTGCAGTAACTATCTTCTGCTAAGTTTCTGGTTTAATCATTTCCTCCCTTCATCCATATAACTTCAGATATTTTATTTTTAATCTCATTGTCTTGGAGCCCATATTTCTAATTGTCAGTCATCTCTAATCTGTATGGAAGTGAATAGGAATACAAATCATAAATAAAATTAACAATCATCTTAACCCTCAGGTTATCTCTTTTGGAGTCATGCCTGCCTTACTAATTAATAATTGCTTTCATTAACCCTAGATTCCTTCCTGGTATTTCCAAGCAACTGCACCCAAAGAGCCATTATAAGATGCACTTGGGGACATTAGGCTTGACAGGGAGGGAAGGGGCTTTCTTAGGGATGAATTCTCTTATATCCATGTCATTTAGTCATTATCCTTCTAAATGCAGTCCTGGAAAGTCTCTCTGATCAAATGCACCCTTTTCAGATATAACAGTGGGCTATTTCCTTGAGAATGGCAGTCACTTTGCTTTCGTGCTGACCACTAATAGATAAAGTTGAATAAAGAGGTCCTGGCCAGTGATGCTTCTTCTTGTCAGTGCTCCAGGACCCATGGGAATGGACACATTGCTTTTTTTCTTGAACTATCTGCCACACAGCATTTCCTTCCTTCTTCAGCCCCACCATGGATCTCCCCAGGTATGTAGGAGAAGATTAGAGGGACATAAAAAATCCAGGATAAAACATGGATGACTAACATTGTAAAATCATCACATGCTTATCTATGGCTGACAATTGTAAGATCATCACACACTTATCTGTATACCATGTGCTTGAAAAAAAATGCACCCTACTGTATCCTTATGAAATTGTTATTCACACTTACTGCATGCTTAAGAAATCTCCAACAGACCTTGTCTCCTTCCCAGCAGCAAAGCTGAGACCCTGATTGGGCTACCCACACCAATCACCGAAACAGTTTGTACCTGTAACTATGAATACATCTCATACTCACCTGGGGCACCCCAAGCAGGATGCCCCCTGTCTTGCAGCTCACTCTGCTATTAAGATAGCCCTTCTGCTTCTTCTGCATTTGCCACACTTTAAATAAACTTTTGCTTTGCACTGTACCAGTCTTGATTTCCCCCTTTCTCCTGAGAGTCCCACTTCTCCATTCTTCGCCAGAGTGAGAGCAAGGACCCAAAGAGAAGCAGAGGGTCATTACAGGGGACTCCTGGCCCCCTCTCCTCAGAGACACCCCCACACCAGATGCAACAAGTGTATGTTTCCCCACTTTGGTGTTTGTCCCCTTGGAGTTATCTCTGCCTCTTCAATCACCCCCACCCACTAGGGCCCACTTATTAAGTGATAGATCAAATTAAGGCCGTAATTCTTCACCTCTCCTGACTTCCCAGCTCCTTGCATTGAAGGTTGGCTCTGTGACTTGCTTTGGTCAATGGAATGAAACGGAAGTAACAATGTACCAGCCACAAGCCTAAGCCTAAAGAGGACTGGTGAGCTTCCACTTGCTCTGCTCCTTTTGTTTCTTTTTTTTCCCCCTGTGTTTCTTCCAAAGCCATGAACACAACTTCTCCTGGGGACCTTCAGTTCCTTCATCATAGACTCATAGATTCATGAATGAAGCAAACACTCGGGTGGCTTGCCACTGAGGTGTTGTGGGGATTTCTTATGCAGAAGAAGCTGACTGATACTCTCTGTAACAGCCTTCCTGGAAGAGCTAGTTCTAGTTCTTGCCTCTCTCCTTTTGTCTTTGATTTTCAGACCATTCAGCTTACTCCCAAGTCACCTAGAAAATAGACTCTACTTCTGTGACAACCCCAAGGGCCCTACCTCAGGGTACACTACTGTGCCTGCAGCTAAAATCTCCTAAGAATGGGTAGGTATATAGAATATGTATCCCCTTAGTTCCTGGAATGGGGGTTCTTGATACTAAAAATAACCAACACTTACTGACCATGTGCTAACAAACTGCCAGGCCTTGCACTAAGTGCCTATATGTGCTGTAAGGCACTTCCTAGAATTGTGTAGTGGATACTGTTATTATCTTTGCCGTACATGAAAGAAGACTGGTACCTGACACACTTAACAGAGTTTACTCAAGCATCACAACCTCACAGAGGAGGACTGGAACCCAATCATCTCCAATTCCAGGTCCCATACCATGCTGCCACCCTTCAGTTTAGCTCAACTATAGAAATCACTCTGGTAGCAAAGTGATTCCAGTCGCGGCTGGGCTATTTCCTCATCCCTATGTCCAGAGTCAAAGAGCCAGGTCCTGGGTCCCTACCAGTGGCCATCTTTGCCATTGCTCCCTCCCACTTGACCCCCCACCCCCACCTTAGAGGTGACAGAAATTGTGGCAGGAACTTGCAGGAACCCGTCTGTGTCGTGGTGAGCAGTAGTGAAGCCTTAGGGAGCCATTTTGTGAGTGGGGGAGCTGGAGAACTAAGAAACGAAAGAGCAATAAGATAATCAGGCCAGCTTTGCAGAAGTTTCTGGGAGGATCTCTGTGTGGCTATGGGAGATCTGGACCATGCCGCTTCTCTAGGGAATAGCCTCAGCCCCCTGCTACTGCTGAAAATCACCAAAGCACAGCAAGGCAGACCTGGATGTGGCCCTAGGGAACTTTAATTCCAGCTCCCTCATTTTACAGATGGGGAAACTAAAGCCCATTTCTTTCTTTCTCTCTTTTTTTTTTTTTTGGTACCGGCAATCGAACTCGGGACCTTGTGCTTGCAAGGCAGGTGCCAGAACCACTGAGCTAAATCTCTGGCCCTAAAGCCCCTTTCTTTACAATGTGGTGTCTCACTCCCCAGTTCCTATGAGCAAGAGTTATACCCATGGGGCAGCACATTGATCCCTGCTATAGTTTGATGCTAAACGTCCCCCAAAGGCCAAAATGTTAAAGATTTGGTTGCCATGGTGGAGCAACTGGGAGATGAGGGAAGCCTTAGAAAGTAGGGAGGCCTACTGGGAGGTCCTTAAGTCACTGAGGGTCACCCTCATAGGGGACAGTGGGACCTCAGCCCCTTTTTCTTCCTTCTTTGCTCCCTGACCATGAGGGGAGCAGTTTGCTCTGTCATATGCCACTGCCATTGCACCCCCACCATTGGTCTACCTGCCCATAGCCTGAAACCTTTAAAACTGGGCGCCAAAAGAAACCCTTTCTCTTTATAAGCTAACTATCTCAGGTGGTGCCGTGAAGCTGACCAACACAGGTTCCTTATTAAAATGTTTATGCAGCGCTGTGTATCCCTCGCATACATATTACTATTAGGGTGCTAATTCATTCAGTTGATTTTGAGTGCCAGACTACTTTGAGGCAGACACATTTTGAATGCTGTGGGATTGAAAGTGTCACATTCACCTTTGTATGCCTTTGTGGAGCTTTTGTTTAACCAGGTGGATGTCTGTATCATGAAAATCTGTCCTTTTCTGGGCTTCTCCAGTCTGCAAGTTCCAGGGAGAGGTGAATTTGTTCCTCCCAGTGGCTCCCTGGAGAGGACTATGTTTCAGAACAGACAGGTGACAATGTCATCCCACAAGGAAGGTGCCCCTCATCTCTGCTTATTTTCCTCACTCTCATGAGCATCTTCCCACGCCCTGAAAAGCGCTCTTTGTGAGCAATGATGCTCACTTCTTAGGAGATTTGCTTCTGGGGATGGAAACCAAAAGTGTGCTCCAGTTTTGGTCGACAATGCCTATCATTTATTGAATCTATGGGAGCAAAGAAAAGGTTCAGTCTGTTAACATCTTCACCCTATACCTGACATCCATCTCTCCACAGGAGTGGCATGCTCCGGATCCCTTCCAAAGAGGGAAGCCCAAAGTCCACTCAGTACTGGCCCAGAGGCCATTGTCCAGCTGTGTGCAGCAGGGACTGTGTGTCCTTGTTGCCCTTGGACAAGTCTGCTGGAGGTGACAGCTTCACAGTCCTCCACCCATGGTTTTGGAGCTACTGCATGCCTTCCTCACCCCTCCTCTGATAGGTGTAAATTGGTTCACAAATCCTGCAATTCGTTTAGCTCATGCTCCACTGAG